AGAGAGAGAGAGAGAGAGAGAGAGAGAGAGAGAGAGAGAGAGAGAGAGAGAGAGAGAGAGAGAAGGGTGGGGGTTACTCACCTGGTCTGCATGAAGCTGGTGTTCTAGCCGAACAGCCTCTGTGTTTCTTATTATATCCTGCTCGGTTCTCAAGGACTGAAGAATCTCTTTTGTACCCCTGAAAAGTTGCAGCTCTTGGATTTCCTGTCGGAGCTGCTCAAGCTGTAGATCTTGCTTCTGCAACTGCCACTGCGCGAATCCATATGAAAGGCAAGATTGAGGTAAATTTTAATCGTATTCAACATATTCGTCGTATTGTTTAAAATTACGAAAAAAGAACTCACAGTCTCACACACGATTGAAAGGAGGAAGGGAAAAACACTCACACAGCTATATACAATGGCGATGAGAACGTCTTCTTCATAGCGGAACATTTGAAACTAGCAAGCACTATGCAGATATAGTACAGAGACCCACGATGTAGCTGAATGGTACACACATGTAACTACTAACTATTGATGAACAGATCATGAGTTCCAATCCTGAGGACGAATCAAAATGGCTACAATGATAGTACAATCAAGTTAGGGACTACAGACATACTGATTGCTGCTCTCTCTGGTGCCATTACTCCTCCATCTTGATTCTGACTCAGTCAGTGCAAGCCCATTTCCTAGATCACGAGTTCGAATCCTGAAAGTGCATTTCCTTTATCAGTTCCTATGGTTTCCACAGCAGGCCCCTTTCGAGTAGTGCCGTTTCGTCCATCAGCAGAACCGCAGGTCTCAAATCTCTGCTGTGTCGGCAACCCTGTGCATCTTTCCGTTCCACCCTGAAGTCTTGTTCATCCCCCATGTTGAAGGCGACCCTGGGTTCAGCCTCTGATAAGTATCTAGAAACATACTCCCTCAGCTCCTTCCTACCTGTTCTCTGCCGGGTTTCCAGTGTGGGCAGCACCGCCACTTGCCATTCCCTTCTTTCCTGACCGAATCTGAATGGCAGGATTGTGTGTGACTCTGCCCTGCATTCAATGCATTGAGTATCCAACGAGGCTACTACCTTTGTTCCTCTGGCAGCTCCTGGGCGACTTGTTCCAAATCCAACGTCCCCTCTGCCACCTCCCTGTTTTGCTCCTGCCTCCCTGTTTTGCTCCTGCAGAACCCTCTGCTGTGTTTCCAGCACTACCATCTGTCTTTGCAGATCCTGAATCTCCTTCTGCTGTTCTGTTTCCTAACCCCCCTTGTGACTACCGTCTTCACCCTAACAGAACAGAACATATAGTCATTTTCGCCGCATCTGGACTGAAAGGCAAGGCTGAAATCAGTCTTGCAAATTCACACTCAAACATGCATGCAACAGATGAGAATAACTTGGCGCTGTGCACCCAACTCAAACTCGGAGATATGGTAGCTTGCAACTCAACTCAAATCCAAGTTCACTTCAGTTGGCTATGGCGCTGGGCGCCCTCACTTACACGTTCGACTCAGAGTTCACACGCAACTCGACTCCGGATCACCCTGGATACCATGCACGCCAACCACTGCACACACACATACACA